TGTACTACATATCAAGTGAACCCCAAAATGCGGGAGTTTGCAATCATGATATCTGAGAAAGCAAAAACAAACGTTCAAAAAATAAAAAGGAATAAAGAAACTATATTATGCTGAAAGAAACCATAGATAACAAACCAATGCCAGTAATAAACTTATATGTTCCAAATGCCTTAGCATCCAAATTCATTAAAGAAAAATTATCTGAACTTCAAGAAGACATAGACAATAACACAAAAGTGACAGAAGAATACAATATATCCTCTCAGTTTTAGATAAGTATAAAAGAAGATAAACAAAAAGGAAAATATGGAATTGAATGAATTATTGGAGAAAGTAGAGTTTAAAAATTTATGGCATCTTCTAAATCTGATAGCAAAAGAATATACATATTTCTCAGTAGCACATGGAACTTTTACAAAAACTGACCATGTACTAGGATACAGAGATATTGTAAACAAATATAAAAAGGTAGAAATAGTTAATACAACCTGTACAGACCATAATGCAATAAAAATAGAAAATGATTCAGGGACCACAAACAAATGATAAAGATCCACATAGAGACTTAACAATGAAATCTTAAATAATGAGTGAGTCAAAGAACAAATCATGGAAACAATTAACAACTATATAAAAGGAAATGATAATGATGAAATAATATACCAAAATTTCTGGAATGCAGCTAAAGCAGTCCTCGGGGCAAAATCATATACTTACAAACACATATTAACAAAATGGTGGGGGGGGGGAAGAGGATTAATTAACTAAAAATGCATTTAAAAAGCTAACAAATAATAAGCATAAAGAGGAGATATTTAAAATTTGAAGGGAAACATAAACTGAAAATAAAAAACCCCACAGGAATGATAAACTAGTTCTTTAAAAAAAAACTAATAAAATTGATAAACCCTTAGCTAATCCGATTGAAAAGAAGCAGAAAAATCACATCAATAAAATAGCAAATGAGCAAAGTAAAATCACAGCAAAGCCAGAAGAAATTTTTAAAAATCAGAACAAATTTTGCAGTTATATACTAACAAAATTAAAAACACAAAGAAATAATGGAATACCTTCAAAAATATAAAATACTCAAACTATCAGAATACCACATAGAGATTTTACATAATGCAGTCTCAGAAAAGGAAATAGCTCTAGTTGTAAAGGAACTACCAAAGAAAAATTTCATGGCCCTGATAGATTCACAGGAAAATGCAATTAAACTTTTAATGAACAGTTAGTACCCATGTTGTTGTTGTTATTATTCAGTCATTTCAGCCATGTCCGTCTCTTTGTGATGCCGTTTAGGGTTTTCTTAGCAAAGGTACTGGAGTGGTTTGCCATTTCCTTCTGCAACTCATTTTACATTTACTGAGGCAAACACAGCTAGTAAGTGTTAGTGCCTATATTTTACAAATTATTCTGAAAAATTAAGAAAGTACCTTACCAGAACACTTTCATGAGACAAATATAGTCCTAATATTTAAAAACCAGGGAAAGAAAACATAGAAAGCAAACTATAAATGTACATCATTAATGAACACTGACTCAAAAATTTTAAACAAAATTTCTATCAAAGAGCAATTTATCCAAGAAATCATTCATCATGACAGAGTGGAATTTATATCAAGGATGCAAGGATGGTTCAATATTAGGAAAACAATTAACACGATCAATCATATTAAAAACCAAGATATCCCAAACCACATGTTCATTTCAATAGATGCAGAAAAAGTCTTTGACATCAACACTCTTTTAGACTAAAAACTCTACAAAGTATAGGCATACAGAGACCTTTTTTTTAAAAAAAAAAACATATATAAAGCATCTATCTAAAACTAACAGCAAGAATGATATGCAATGGGGACAATTCTAGAACCTTTTCCAATAAATATGAGTGAAGCAAGGATGCTCACTCTCCCTCCTATTATTTTATATAGTCCTGGAAATGCCAGCAACAAGACAAGAGAAAGAAATTAAAGTAACAGGTAAAAAGGAGATAGTCTTATCTTATATTTTCCAAGTAAACCATCATTATCATCAGCACTTGGAAAATCCCAAGGAATCAGCAAAGACATAAATTGTAGGCCACAAAATAAATCCTCAAAATAGTTAGCATTTCTACATAACAATAACAAAACACAAGAAGCAATATCCTATTCCAAATAACTAAAAAATGATTTAAATATCTGGGGATTAACTTTCCAAAGTATACAAAATAATTATATAGATTAAACTAAAAAGTGCTCCTTAAAGAAATTAAGAACAAATTAAATACCTGGAGGAATATTCAGTGCTCATGGGTAGGCCATGCCAATATAATAAAAATGACAATACTACGAAATTTAATTTATATTTTTAATGTCATACCAATCCAATTACTAAAAGGATACTTTACAGAACTTGATAAGATGATAAAATTCAATTGGAAAAACTAAAAATCTAGAATATCAAGAGACATGCCGAAAAAAATTAAGTACAAAAGGGGAATAGCACTTCTGGACTTCAAACTAGTTATCAAAAATATCTGGTATTGGTTAAAAAGGATAGCTAGGCAGTGCAGTGGATAAAGAGCCAGACTTAAAGTCAGGGAGACCTAAGTTCAAATGGGACCTCAGACACCTCTTAGTTTGTATGAGCTTGAGCAAGTCAATTAACCCTGTTTGCCTCAGTTTCCCCATCTGTAAAATAAGCTGGAGAAGGAAATAGCAAAATACTCCAGTACATTTGCCAAGAAAATCCCAAATGGGGTCATGAAGAGTCAGACATGAGTGAAATGACTAAACAGCAAATTGAATTCTCTCATCTCCTTCTATCCAATTCTGGTCCAAATGTGTCATCCATTGAAGATGGGTAAGCCCTAGAGGTTGTTTAAACAATTATATATTGTATTATGAACAATAGCATTACTTTATCTAGTTGATCCGGTCAGTATGGATCAAACTCCTTTGAATAATTATGGGTCTCATTTGGAAGGTTCTATAATATTTTGGAGTTTGATCCGATCAACATGTTGTCCTCCACCAAAAGGAGCAGGAATCCCTGTTTGCCTTGGAAAGCATCATGTACAGTTCATGTTAGCTAATATATCAGAACACTTCAACTATAGCTCATAAGGTCAGCTTGTAGTGGGAAGAGAACTGGATTTGGAACCAGAAGACTCAAGTTCAATTTTTTATTTTGCTACTTAAAACCTATGTGACTTTGGACAAGTAGGTCACTTTTCAACATAGTTAAGTTTCCTAATTTGTTAAACAAAGGGGTTGTACATGACCTCAGATAAGGAAACTGGAAGAGATGATCTGAGGTCTCATCCAGCTCTAAATCCTCTAATTCTATGAATTCAGATTATGCTAAAAAGCCAAAGAAAAATAAAGATTTTTTAATTTATTAGGAAAAAATTAAAAAACAGGGTAAAAAGCATAGGAAATGTTTCTGGCTTTCACATGAAAGTCAAAGATGTGTGCTGACAGCTCTCCAATAGATATTTTCTGTTTTCTCTTGCTGTGCTATTCATTCTTTCATAGGATGTGGGAGTCATTTGTCTTTAATAGCTAAAATTACCTACATGGCTACTGAATATTCCTTTTTCATCCGTGGTATGAGAATGCGCAAGGAAAATAAGATTGTTCTCTTGTGGGGTCTGATCAGAGCACACTGATGTTTACATGATACCATAGCAGCATTCTAGATTCTCCTGACCTAAGGAACCATTTCCAATCATGGCCTCAAATGATGTCTTAAGTGCAAATCACCTCCTAGAAACATCAAGGCAGAACAAACTTTAAAAATGGAAGGAAAACTAGGATAGCAGCCTTTGGACAGAGGGAACACGACCTGGAGTGAATAGAAGTTATTCAGGAGACATGAAGGACAACACGTCACCCAGACATGTCTGATGAAGGGAGTTTTCTTGGCCATAACCAGAGGGCGTGCTGTAGAGAAACTACCTTGGAATAATGTCATCTTGTTGGTTTTAACAGAATGAGGGCATGAAGTTGGATGCCGATGCCCCAGGGAGACGACAAGTGTTGACTCGGGCATTTGGCCATTTTGGTCAAATGAATTTACCATCGGCAAAAAAATTAGCATCACCCTGGAGAAAGTTGGAGGCAGCTGGGGATAGAGTGGGATGGCCAAGAATGCACACCTGGGCTGAGCCCTTCTTTGGAAGGGTCTTCCCATGGCACAGGTGTGCTTTCTGCTTGTCTTCTACTTCAACATTGTTCATTGTTCCCCTTCACTTGGTTTCCTTTCTATGATTCAGAGGGCCATAAATGGCAATGACACTTACCTGTGGCCAAAAAATGATGGCCTAACACCAGCACCTTGCCTCAAATACAGACTCCCTTTGGGGGGAGGGCAATAACAGCCTCTGTGCTCTAAACAGTACCCCTCATATTATAGACCAGAAGGTAGCTTCAAAGTAATTGAATATAATTAGAGCTATATTCACATTTCCAATCACTATAATTCTCCTTTACCCAATTCTACTTGCTTATGTTATCACTATCTCCCATTTTTTGTGGATAGGAAGAATGTTAGGGAGACTAAGCAATTCGTTAAGGTATTAGAGCAGTATTCTTTCCATCCCTTCCCCAATTAGTTCCAGGCTTGTACATTGTACACTGATTGGGTGAGAGAACCAAGATGTGCTAGCTGGCTGCCTCTAGCAATGTGTGTGAAGGACAGATAAACTCTATGTCAGCAAATGGGAGAGAAAAGCAGAGTCAGCATTATTTCCATATTCTACTTTGGCAAAATGTGATTGATTTTTATGTTAAATGGCCAAGTAATTGTTGGAAAAAATGTTCCAATTACTGAATATTCTCAAGATACTTACTTGTAACGTGGGAGTAAACAGGTAAGGCAGAGAAGACATCCTCGTTTCTTGAGGTTTTTGGGGTTTTTTTTAAAGAAATATTCCCACTCTCATAATTCTCTAGACTGATCTAGTAAATGGAAGCATTTTAAATTCACATTAAAAATCAATGACTACTAAATGAGCACATGAGGCTTTTATTTATAATTTGATTGTGATTTTTCAGGACAATAGACTAGATTAAAATAAATTTCTCCTTCACAAAAGGTGACTATTACATGATGTTTATCTGAGAATACCACAGTCAAAAACCTTGTTTGAATAATAGTACAAAAGGAATCCCCACAATTGTCAACAAAATGTATTGAACACAAAAGGAATCTTTGAAAGCACCTAGGGATTGTATAAAAATTGTATTAAATGGATTAAATTTCTCTTGGAAAGGTTTTGGCTTCTTTCTATCCCTGGTTCTTGGCCTCTGTGTTCATCACTTTCACCCTTGTGACCCATCACTCAGCTCTAGCCCTGAGCAGATAATTGACCCCAAAGAGCATTTCTATAAACTTCAATCCCATGGAAAGATTCAACCATCCAGAAATGAACTATGACCTGAAACAGAATCATGGGATTTTTGTGCTTAATGTTACATACATAGTAAACCTTCCTATCCCCAGGACCATACAACCTTTCTACAGCTATAAACCTTATACCATGAGCTAAGCAGCCCCTCAGAAGCCAGTCTTGCTCACTTCTCCCCTTCCCTTTATTTCCTCCTTCTTTCAGACTTAGGGGACTTCAAAATCCCATTTCTATGCAAGAAGCACATCATAGCCAACTAATGTTTTTTGCTGAGTTGAATGAACATCAGGTTCCTCATTAACCAGTCAGTCTGTAAAACTGTACTCTTCTATCATGAGTAAAAAGACCCCAGAAAGACTTCCTAGTCATTTCCTCCATGTCTATATTTAGGAAGAGAGATACTCTCATCACACAGGACAGATGGATTAAAAGTTCCACCACTGTTAAGGAGAGAAAGAGAGAAAGCCCATCCTGATTTCAGAGCCTTTTTAAAACCACAAATACAACACAAGGACTTCTAGAGTTGTTTCAAGTCTGCAGACAGCCACACAAGAGTTAGACGCTTAAATCCAAAGTCCAGAACGACAAAAGTAGTGACCCACAAAAGAGTTTGGCAAGAAAACATCTTGATCTTTGTTCTCTTGGTCTGAAGTCAGGATATTGCCTTCATGGGATGATAGCCTGAAGAACAGTTGTAGTTCATGATGAAAAAGTGTGCTTTCTTCCATCTACACTTACTCCAATAACATTCCAATCAGGTCTTATGAAAAGGGGCATAAAGGGCCCTCCTTTGAACCCACCACCTGGGACATACAACCTGTGCCATGGGAGTAACTCAGAGCAGATATCCAAGCAATGCAGAAATATACACAGGTACTTATAGGTCTTGTCTGAGTAACGAAGTGTCAGCCTGCTGGGTCAGAAGAAAATGCTCTAAAGTAATAAGGCTGGTGTTTTCTCAGTAGAAGATTCATCACAAGTTCTTAATTAGGCAGCTGGGTGGATAGGGAAGGAAAACAAAGAGATGGTCAGACCTTCCCCATTCAAGATAAGGAGAAAGCTGCACACAATTAACAGCAGGTCCAGCCAGGTGTGGATACTGTTTGCAGGTTGATGTAGTCACCTTGTGTGGGCAGAGATGTGCTGCCTTCCCTGGTATTGGCCATCATCTGTTCAATAAGGACTCTAGGAAATAAACTAGAAGTCAGACTGAGGAGCAGGCTGAAGCAGAAAAAGAGAAAAGGCAGACATTCCAAATTATTCCTTTTTTTAAAATCATCATCACTGTCCAGAAAAAAAAGATGAGAGGTCTGCTTGATGACATTCTAGGAACCTTAAGGAGAGAAGAGAGAGTCTCTGATCTTGAGAAGTTATTGTTCTAATGTGTTCCTCCTGACCCTGTCTTGCAGGGCCCCTGGCACAAGTGAAGCACAGAACAGGTGGAGATGATAGGAGGAAGTATGACTAAGGGAGAGATGGGAAAGAATCCTACTTTCAGCAGAGAATCAGTACCTACTTACCTCATAGCTTCATTAACATTTTTGTTCTCCTTGACTGATGTTTCAGTCCAGCCAGTGAAACCATTCTCTTTGCTGAACCGGTCAATCTGGTCCCTTGTCACTGCCCAAGGGGATAGGTCACTCTGTGCAAGTGAAGGAAGACAAGGAAATGTCATAAGGTTCACAGTTAGAAAAGCATTACTCAGATGATTGCATTAATCCCGCCACATGGACTCAACACTCAGAATGCCACTAAAGAACTCTAGGGCAACTCTCTTCCTTCAGAGATCTTTGAAAGGAACCTAGGATCCTAGGCTCAGAATCCCAGAATTTTAGAGTTAGGACTACAGAAGCCATCTAGTCTGACCTGTGTGGGAAAAGGAACATCCCCTAGAACATACCCAACAAATGGTCACTTTCCTTGAAGTTCCTCCATGAAAGATTTCATTGCAGCCCATTACCTACTAAGACAGCCCATTCCAATGATCAGGAAAAATAACTGGATATGAAGCCTAAATTTGATTCTCTGTAACTTCTGATTTCTGCATCCGGATAAAAAGAACAAGCTTAATTTTAATTTAACAAGTTTAATTATTCATGTAGAATAGAGAGTCTACATGACAGTCTTTAAAACACCTGAAGACAGCTATCATGTACATCCGCCCCCACCTCTCCCCCGCCCAAGTCTTCTCTACTTCAAGCTAAACAGTCCCAGTTTCTTCACTAATCCTCGTATAGACTCAAGGCCCTTCATGATCCTAGTTGACTGCCTCTGAACATTCTCCAACTTATCAATGTCCTTCCTAAATTGTCACCTAGAACAAAACATAATTTTCCATATGTAGTCTGACCAGGGAGGGCACTAGGTGGCTCAGTGGATAGAGTGTTGAGCCTGGAGTCAGGAAGATTCCTCTTCCCAAGTTCAAATCTGGCTTCAGACTCTTAGTAGCTGTGTGACCTATGGGCATATCACTTAACCTTATTTGCCTCAGTTTCCTCATCTGTAAAATGGGCTGGAGAAGAAAATGACAAACCACTCCAGCCAAGAAAACCCCAAACAGGGTCACAAAGAGTCAGACATGACTGAAACAATTGAACAAGAACAAGTCTGACTAGGGCAGAGTCCAAAGGAACCATTACCACCTCATTATTCTTGGAAGCTGTAGCTCACATAATGCAACCCAAGGGAAATTTTTTTTGTTTTTGTTTTTAGGCAATTGGGGTTAAGTGACTTGCCCAGGGTCACATAGCTGGTAAGTGTCAAGTATTTGGTCTGAGGCCAGATTTGAACTCAGGTCCTCCTGACTTCAGGGCCGGTGCTCTATCCACTGTACCACCTAGCTGCCCCCTCCCCAAGGGAAACACTTTTGAAAGAAGTTGTGTGGCCTAGTAAATACGGCACCAAGCCGCCGAAACTCTCTGACCCTCTGTTTCCTTGTCTATAAAATGAGGTGGTTGGATGAGGTGGCCCTTCGGGTCCCTTTTTCAAATTCTAAATCTATGATCCTATGGTCCCATTACCCTTCAACTACAGAACTCTGATCAGTGTAGTGCTCCATCATGAGTTCAGAAGAATGATGATGAAGCAGGCTGCCCATCTCTTTTTATTTTTTAATTTTTAATTAATTTATTTTGAATTATCAACAATCACTTCCATAAGCTTTTGAGTTTTAAATTTTTCTCCCCTTCCCTTCCCACTTCCCTTCTCTAGATGGTGTGCAATCTGATATAAGCTATACATATATATTCCTATTAAACATATTTTCACATTAGTGATGTTGTAGGTAAGAATTAGAACCAATCGGAGGAACCAGCGGAAAGAGTAAACAAAACACAACAGAAAGAAAAAAAATAGCAAACAGTATGCTTCTATCTACATTCAAACTCCACGGTTCTTTCTCTGGATGTGGATAGCATTTTCCATCATGAGGCCTCTGGAGATGTTTTACATCCTTGTATTGTTGAGAAGGGTTAAGTCTATCAATATTAGTCGTCACACAACGTGGCTGTTACTGTGTCCAACGTTCTCTTGGTTCCACTCATTTCATTTAGCATCAGACCATACAAGTCTTTCCAGGATTTTCTGAAGTCAGCCTGTTCATCATTTCTTATAGCACAATAGTATTCCACGACATTCATATACCACAACTTGTTCAGCCATTCCCCAATGGACGGGCATCCTCTCAATTTCCAGTTCTTTGCCACCACAGAAGGAGCTGCTATAAATATTTTTGTACATATGGGTCCTTTTCCCGTTTGTATGATCTCTTTGGGATATAGCCCTAGAAGTGCTATTGCTGGGTCAAAGGACATGCACATTTTAATAGTCCTTTGGGCATGGTTTCAAATTGCTCTCCTAAAATGGTTAATTTCCTCAACAATTTATTAGTGTTCTAATTTTCCCACATCTTCTCCAACATTTATCATTTTCCTGTTTTGTCATGTTGGCCAATCTCATAGGTGTGATATGGTACCTCAGAGTTGTTTTGATTTGCACTTCTTTAATCAATAGTGATTTAGAGCATTTTTTTCATATGACTATAGATGGCTTTAATTTCTTCATCTGAAAACTGCCTGTTCATATCCTTTGACCATTTATCAGTTGGGGAATGACCTATATTCTTATAAATTTGACTTAATTCTCTATATATTTTAGAAATGAGCTGCCCATCTCTTTACAGAGAGGTGATGGACTAGAGGTACAAAAGAAGACATGCATTTTTGAATTTAGCCAATATGTGGATTTGTTTTGTTTGACTGTGTTTATTTGTTACGAAGGAAGGTGTCCATTAGTTGGGAAGGTGGGGAGGAGGGGGAAGAGTTAGTGATAGAGATGCAAAAAAAAAAAAAAAGGAAAGGCAAGAACGATTGGGACATCAATATAATATATAAAACATTTAAAAAAACCAAAAATTTTAAAAGGGACACAAACATTTTAAAAGGGCAATTTTGTTACTGTGTTAAATTTAACTTATACTTTATCTTTTTTGTTCTTCTTTGTATACTATTCATATTTGTTGATGACTATTAAGTTTACAATAAAAAAGAATTTTTTAAAAAAATGCAGTCCAAGCTCATATTAGTTTTATTGGCTGCTACATCACACTGCTGACTCATATTCAGTTTGTAGTCCACTAAACTGCATCTAACTATGCCTCTTCCATCTTGTATTTGTAAAGTTAACTTATTGAACCCAAGTTTATAGGAATTTATATTCATCTCTATTAAATTTTATCTTCTTAGCTGTCATTCAGTGACACGGCTATCCCTCCCAGCTTTGTATCATTGGCAAATTTAATGAGTCTGCCATCTATGCTTTTTTTTTTTCAAGCTACTGGTGAAAATGTCAAACAGCACAGGGTCGAACACAAATCCCTGTGGCACTCCACTTAAGACGTCGTTCCAGGATGACATCAAACCACTAAGAATTACTCTTTGGATCCAGCCATTTAATGAGATCTCAGTCATTCTAACTGTACCCTCCTCCAGCCTTTCTCTCCACGTTTTCCAAAAGAATAGCATGAAAAACTTTGTTAGATACTGTCGCCCAGATCTGCCAATTTAATACCAGATGACTGTACCTGTCCTAGAAGTCCAAAATTACCAAGTAAGCCAGCCATGACATCTCTCTGATCATAAATAAAGTGATAAAGTAGGGGCAGCTAGGTGGTGCAGAGGATAGAACACCACCCCTGGAGTCAGGAGGACCCGAGTTCAAATCTGATCTCAGGAGCCAAGATGGCAGAGTAAAAGCAGTGACTTGCTTGAGCTCTCACCTAAACCCCTCCAAATACCTGTAAAAAAATGGCTCTAAACAAATCTGACCTCAGACACTTATTAGCTGTGTGACCATGGGCAAGTCACTTAACTCCAATTGCTTCAAAAAAAAAAGTGATAAAGCACATTTCTCTGAGCTGTATACACACACACACACACACACACACACACACACACACACACACATACCTTGTTGGCTAATAACAGGCAGGGCACAGGCTCCCCACTGGGCAATGTGAGCTTACAATCTAAGTCTTGCTTCCACCTCTGGCTGTTGCTGAAGGTGGTGGCATTGGTGACATCAAACATGATGACACAGGCTGAAGCATCCCGATAGTACAGACGAGTCATGGAGGTGAATCTCTCTTGGCCTGGCAGGAAGCAAGAGATACTTGGTTATCAAAGGGGTAGTGCTTAAGACCATCCTAAGGCCTCTACTTCCCTTCTTCAATCAACTTCTGTTGGAGCACACAGCTGCTCATAGCAATTCTATTTTGTGTTTCTGCTCTGACAGATGAAAAGCCAGGAAGGGGGAATATTTCTTTGATTATTGCAGAGGTAGACAGCCTGCTGTGATAAGGACACTTGTCTAATTGGACCTTATTTAATCACAGAAATAAAGGTCAATGCGGTCATTTCAGAGATAAAATTTCCAGTTTCACAAGTCTTCAAGTTTCCGAAGATTCTGCACTGCTTTTCATTTTTTAAAATCTGTTTCTGATTTTGCCACCAAGCCTGTTCCCTCTGAGGATACTCAAGTAAAACAGATTTCTTCCCCATCCCTACTCCTAATGGTATTATTTTTCCTACTTACCTGCAATATCCCATAGCTGGAGCCGCACCATTTCTGAATCGGACCACTGGACAACCTTCAGAGCAAAGTCCACTGCAAAATCCCAACCAAAAATTAAATCTCAAGGACTACAGGTATGTGTGTGGGTATGTGTGTGTGGGGTGTGTGTGTGTGTGTGTGTGTGTGTGTGTGTGTGTGGTGTGTGTGTGTGAGAGAGACAGACAGAGAAAGAAAGTGAGAGAGAGACAGAGAGAGAAAGAAGTCAAACCTTCAAAACATATGGGACAGTAAGAGAGGAGAGGGGAAATTTGGGATAACTACTTTTCTTTTTCTTTTTCTTTTTTTGAGGGTTGGGCAATGGGGTTAAGTGACTTGCCCAGGGTCACATAGCTAGTAAGTGTTATGTGTCTGAGGCCGAATTTGAACTCAGGTCCTCCTGAATCCAGAGCTGGTGCTCTATCCACTGCAGCATCTAGCTGCCCCCCAAATTTGGGATAACTGCTGAAAGGTATTCAGTCAGATGCCAACCCCAGCAAACATCTTCTTTGCTGAATCATCAACCATGTCATGGATAGGTATACTCCAAAGCTCTGTCTTTTCTCTATATTCTCTTTAGGTAATCTCATCAGTTCTGGTGAGTTCACTCATCACCTCTATGCAGATGACTCCCAAATATGAATCTCCATAACTTATTTCTCTCCTAAGTGCTAACCCTGTACCACCAATTGCCTGCTGGGCATCCCTATCTGAATTTCCCATAGGCATCACAAACTCCAACTCATTATCTTTCATCTACAAAATCCACCATTCTATTCTGTCCAGGTTCACAACCTTGGAGTCACTCTCAATCCTTCCCTCTCCCACACCCCCTCTAGTCAATCAGAAGCCAAGTCCCATCTACCTTCCCAATGTCGCTTGCATCTGCCCTCATCTCTCCACTCCACTCACAAAGTCACTACTTCCATTGACCCCCTTACCACTTCTGGCCAGGGCTACTGTAATAGCTTTCTAATTGGTCAAGTCAATCCTCTTTCCAATCAGTCTTCTACACAGATGCCAAATTGATATACCTAAAAGCAGAGGTTTCACCATATCCCCCCCCCCCCTTGCTGAGAAGCTTCAATGGCTCCCAATTTCCTCCAAGATTAAAGACAAACTCTTCTCTCTGGCTTTTAAAGCCCTCCTAAAATAACTTCATCCTCTCCTTCCAGACTGATTTTATTTACATTACTCCCTTGATCCAAACTAGCCTCTATGCTGCTCCCTGTACGGGATGTCCTGTCTCCTGCCTCTGTGCCTGTGACCATGCTGGAATGCTTTTCATTCCTACCTCTACTCCTGGGAAGACCAAGCTCCCTTCAATAATTGCCCTGGTCACTTCCTCCAAAAGGTCTTTCCTAATCCCCTCAGTTGTTATTCAACTCCTCTTCCTAATCCACCAAAAAATCACTTTACATCTACTAATCCATGTACATATTGTTCCCCTCCCCCCAGACCATAAGCTCCTGGAGGGCAGGGACTGTTCTGTGTTTGTAACCCCAGCACACAGTAGGTGACTGACTTGCTGAACGTGGGCAGTGCACTACAGTGGAAAGAGAGCCAGATTTGGAGTTAGAAGACCTGGGTCTGAATACCAAACTTTTGTTACTTTTTTTATGCCCGCAGGCAAGTTACTTCTTTTAGCCTCAGTTTCCTCATCTGTAAATTGAGGAGTTTGGATTAAATGGCCTCTGAGGTCCCTTCCAGTTCTCTAAATATATGAACTCCATTTTCTGGTTGAGGAAAAATTGGAGCAACCGCTAATTATTATTATTATCTGTACTCTTCAATCAAGAGTCATGAAACATAGGGCTCTAATTACAGGGGGATGGGAAAAGGGACCATGGGATTACCAACCATTGACTTGGATGCACCTGCTTGCCCCCAGGTTTGTTTTATCTTTGTCATCCCTTTACAGCAGACACTTCAGACAATAACGCCTGATCAATCAGAATTAAAATACTTCTAAAATTCACATTAGAAAGAAATCAGCATGGGGCAGCTAGGTGGCTCAGTGGATAGAGTACCAGCTCTGGAGTCAGGAAGACCTGAGTTCAAATTTGGCTTCAGACACTTACCAACTTACTAGTTGTGTGACTGTGGGCAATTCACTTAACCCCAACTGGAAAAAGAAAGAAAGAAAGGAAGGAAAGGAAGAAAAGAAAGAAAGGAGTTAAGTGAGATTGGCAGAACCAGAATCTTGTACACATTGATGACATCATATATGGAAGAGGCGTCATGAAATAGAGGATAAAAATCAGCCTTGTCAGGAAGGTCTCCCTGGCAGTTCCAGTCTGGTTTCTGACATATGCAGGCTCCACCTTTCAGGCAACCCTCTGTAAATGACAGGTAAGAATCCAAGCTCTTTGCAAGTAGGAATTATTCCATCCTTTGTACTTATTCCCCGGGAGTAGCACCATGCCTAAATTTATTGAATAGCACTCAATAAATACTTGTTGATTGGTTAATGAATAGCTGATATGCATTGGAAGGAGTTTCCATACCAGGAATTTCCTATATTGATAAAACTCCCTGTCTAGAGATAAGATCTATTTTAATGTGATTAAAATTAAATTATATTTTAATAATAACATGAGGTAGCATGATATAGTGCAGTAGTGTCAAACTCAGAGGCTGCAAGACTCCCCAGTGCATCTAAACTAGATTAAAATGTAATTGGGAAATGTTAAACAAAATTATAAAAATACGACACAGCTAATGTTAATTGTTTTTTTTTCATTTTCTAAGTCAATACGCAGCCCACAGGATTAGTTTCTATTTGAGTTTGACACCCCTGGTATAGTGGATAGAGAGCTGGCCTCAAATCCAGGAAGACCTGGGTTCAAGTTAGATTTCTTACATATTCTGTCTGTGTTACATTGGGCAAGTCACTTAACCTCCCAGTACTCTGGGCAGCTTTTGAAGACTACAGGTGGAAGAGAGTTTCCTTACCTGGAAACTCCTTATCCCAATGAAATCACAGGTCTGTTTCCTGTCCCAAATATTAATTTGTAGTCACTCCAATTTTATGTGACAATTCTGTTTATCTCCAGATTGGGGTTTCCATCATGGACACTCTCAGTACAGAAACTGCTTTAAAGATGTATTAGTCACACATTTAGGTAAATGTTTACTAAGTAAAGCTAAAATATATGTTTAACAAAGCTCAGGGCAGCTAGGTAGCACAGTGGAACAGAGTACAGGGCCTGAAGTCAGGAAGACTCATCTTCATGAGTTCAAATCTGGCCTCAGACACTTACTAGCTATGTGAGCCTGGGCAAGTCACTTAACCTTGTTTGCCTTGGTTTTTAATCTATAAAATGAGCTGGAGACAGAAATGGCAAATCACTCCAGTATCTTTACCAAGAAAGCCCCAAACGGGGTCACAAAGAGTCTGACGTGACCGAACAACAAAAACAAAGCTAAGAGAAACTTGTGAACTACCTAGGAAGGGACACACAGCATATGCAAATATGTTTGCTGTTTGGTTAGTTTATTTGGTTCTACTTTGATAAACACGAAGGGTTTCAATCTGAACCACTACATTTATAATTTTTTTAGAATTAGGATAAAAAAGTCCCTCAGACAGGGACAGCATTCTAAGAAATATGTCCCCTCTTCTGCCTGCTACATAGATGCATCCTTTCCCATGAAATAAAAAGCATCTCTGTTGACAGACATCAGTTTCAGAACCCTGGTTGAGTACATATGCCACTAGAGAGAAATTAACTGTTGGTGAGCACTCACTCTCTTCTTACCCTCCTGCTCTTCTGAGGAGTGAAGTTGTATATCTCTCTAAATCCTCTTCAAATAACTCCGAGTCTATATCCTGGGCAATACAAGGCTAAACCTCACAAAAGTGTTCTGGGTGGGGGAAGGGTGGTGAATTATTTCATGACCCATTCCTAGAGCAAAGCTACAAGATCCTTCACCTCTCTGAAAGCCTTTCTAGGAATCATTACACCTCCACTCAATCTCCTTAGTTCACCCACACTCTCTGACCTTCCCCATTTCTATGAGCGATGCTCTCAGAGGGCCAGAGACCCCTTTGTGTGGTATGACAGCAGCCCTGGCTAGGAAAAGGAATTGCGGGGAAGTGGGAAGACTGTGTATGCTTTGGAACCAGAGTTTTAGTCCCAGCTTCTTGGACAGGGATAAGTGATTTGACCTCTGGCTTTCTAGTCTGTAAAACGGGGATGATATTATTTGTATTACCCTCCTTCACAGGCTAGTTACATAAAAGTATGCTGCTGTTATTATTAGTTAACCAGTGCCCTTTCCAAAAGCAGTTCAGCTGCCTTCTACACTCCCTGAATGTAATATAAAAATACGTCTGGCCCTAAAAATCAGAGAGGCCCCCAGAAAGAGGCTTGGCTAATGTCAGACTTCGAAAACTTAGCAACTACTTGAACCGCCTTCCCACTGTATCCCCTTGGCGATTCACCTTCACCAGCTGAGCCAAGTAAGTTATTACCCAAATCAATCCACTTCTGCACCTCGGCCACAAGTTACCTATCTCTAAAGACACCTGCTCCAACCCACCATCCCGAGCTGGGAACAGAACGGGCTTCCAGACCTGGGTTAGGCTGTCCCTCTCCCCGACCTGCCTCTCACCTCCCACGGTGGACTTGTAGTGTTTGCTGAAACTGTCCTGGGAGTACCTCTGGACGAGAGACGTCTTGCCCACTGCGGCGTCTCCCACCACCAGCACCTTGAACAGGTAGTCTCGGCTGCCCATGGCCCGCAGGAGTCAGGGAGATGAGACAGGAAATCACAAAGGGTGAGGACGGGGCGGGAGAGTCTGCAAGTTACGGTAACTGCTTTAACTTCTCCGGCGCTTACTTCGGTGGGGCTTACACTGATGAGAAAGCGAAAAAAGGGAAACTTTGCAGTCATCCACAGACGCTTCCTGGGTGGGGCGTGGAGAGCGAAGGCTGCCGAGCTGACCCCCTTCTCTGCACCACCCTACACTTTTCTTCTCTCTCACGACCTAGCCCCGTTGGCCAAGGAGGATGCTCCAGGATCCCGCCACGGAGTCCCCCCAAGTGAAGGGCTAAGTCCTGGCTAACTTCAGTCCACCCACGGAGGCCTGCCCGTGGCACGCAAAGGAACTGAGCGGAGAAGTGAAGTGGCCACAGTTCCCAGAAACCCAAGTCCAAATCCAGGTCCAGATTCTGCTCAACCCTTTCGCCTGCCCACCCCCTGCCCGTCACGTGCGGGAGAACTCGCAGGACTACATTTCCCAGCATGCCTCGTGGCATAGAAAGTAAACAGCAGGGGGACTCTGGTACGAATGGCCTCTTGGGAAATGTAGTCATTGTGTTTGAAAGTTTCATAGGGCCTGGGTCACTAAATTACTACACCGTGCTGCTTCGGGAACACCAGCGTTTGTTCAAAATTGAATTCTAGTGTTTGGACTGGAAGTTCAAAGTAGCTTGGCTTAAGTGAAGAAAGTGCAGATTTCAAAACCAGAAAGATCTCTGTTTGAGTGAGCTCTAGGTGAGAAATAAACCAGCGACTGCAGGAGTCATTTAACTTCTCTGGGCTCTGTTTGTCTAGTGTCTAGGCAATTGCCTAAGACAGAAGTTTTTAACTAGGGCTTCAGTGGGTCTGTAAACTTGGATGGGGAAAAAATTGCATCTTTATTTTCACTGAACTCAACCAAAATTTACCATTTCCTTCAATTATGAATATAGGCAACAAATGTTATTCTGAGAAGTCCGTAGGGTTGCACCAGACTGACACAAAAATGTTAAGAACCCTTGCTCTGTGTCTTTCATTGCAGAGAAGGTGCCTACCAGCGCTGGTGTCTGGAGTTTCTTCACCCCCAAGTTCTCTATTCTAATGAAACCACAGGTCTGTATCCTTGGGCTGGAAAGTGCTTTGACAAACTTCTCATGGTCAGGACCAGACATACTTCTGCCCATCCCAGAAGTCTGAGAACCTCTTTAAGAGACAGCCTGAGTGGAAAAACCACTGAACCTGGAGTCAAAAGGTCTATGTTGAAGTCTTGGCTTTGATAATCACTAGTCAGGGGATTATGGATAAGTCAGTTGACCTTGTGAGCCTTGATTTCTTCAACTGTAAAATATGACTACGTTGTGTATATAGCAGATACTCTGGGCTGGTCTTAGAGGCATGAAGACCTACTTGTGTGACCATGGGTGACTTAATTTCTCAATGGCCAGAACAAACTTCTAAGCTAAGACTGCAAGGTACAGACAAAAATCTTTGCTGAATTGAATTGTATTCTATTATTTGTATGGTATTCTATTACTTACTTGGAGAGTCCCTTGTCAGAGAGTTCATTTCAGAAAGTTCTTTAAATCTGATGTCCAAGGGAGCAGTTAGGTGGCGCAGTAGATAGAACACTTCTCCGAAGTCAGGAGGACTTGAGTTCAAATTTGATCTCAGACCAGACACTTGATACATTTAGCTGTGTGACCCTGGGCAAGTCACTTAACCCCAATTGCCTCGTTAAAAAAAAAAATCTGATGTCAGTGTTAGGCAGGAGAGGGGAAGCTTATCCTGAGATTCCAGCCCTTGAATGGACTAACCCATAAGATATGAGTGATAAGAAACACAAGGCGTACCAATACAGACCAATGGCAAATGATGTTTCTAATCATAATTCATTCATGTAATTCATAATGTAATTCACAATTCATGATCGTAATTCATTTTCAGAAGAAATCCAGGCAGTGAGTCAACCAACATGTATTACGCACTGTGTGTGAGTCACTGTGCTAAGTGCTGGGGGTCGTTTGTCCTTCGTTCTCAATCATGATGTCAGGGAGGTGATGCCATGACATGCGAGTGAATTGGATTTAAATGAGGCAGGGCTGTGCAAAGTCACCAGCCTCACTTTCTCCTCCAAAGTCATCAGGGTCCAGTGGCAAGATCAGGATGATGGGAGATAGCCCTGGATGCAGTGGGAGGCGTTGGCCTTTAAAGAGATACATAAACAGATCCTGCCCTCAAGGAGCTCTCAGTCTAATGAGAGAAACAAGATGTACATAGCTAGGTATATGCATGATAAATACAAAGTAGATGGAAGGTAATATGAAAGGGGAAGGCATTGGCAGCAGGAAGGGGGGTTGTGATGCTGGTATTGGTCATTCATCATCATATTCTACCCTCATTTGCAACACTAATATATTTATTTTATCAGCCAGCAGAAGCTTCTGACTACCTTTCCTACACCCTGCTATATTCACCCACCCCAAGGCCCCACAGGAAATAGGACATTTGTTTGGTAGCATGTGAAATAATCTGTTCTTTTTATACATTTTTCCAGAAGAAAAAAGAGTAGTAGCATCCTTGGGAACTTTGAGTGGATTCTGCTTGGAGGATGCAAGCCCAAAAGCCATGGTTATACTAACTCTAAGATAATCATTGTTTTCTCTGGCCTACTTGGCCTAAATTACTATTTACCCTGGGTAAGTCTGCCCTGAGTCAACTACCAAAATTAGACAGGCTATCTCATCTACCTCCCTTTCAAATGGCCTTTTCTCAGCTCTCATTCTCCTTGACCTTTCTTGGATATTTGATGGCATTGATCATTCCCCCCTGGAAACCTTTTCCTCTTCCTTCCATGACTCTATACTTTCTGCATTCTAATTGTTCCTTTTTTTTTTTTTTTATCATTTCCTCTTGCTTATCCTTCCTCCTGACTATGAATGTCCCCACAGTCCTATGATCCATATGTTCTTTCTGTACATTTTTTCCTTAGAGCACTGAACTAGTCCCATGGCTTCAATGGTCACCTCTATGTGAACTGTTGTTGTTGAGATGCCCTGTGGCATTATTGAGAGAGCAGTGACAGCAAGATTTAGATTCAAATTGAACCCCTGATTTTTGCTACCTATAGGAACATGAACAAGTCCCTTAACCTCTCTGAAGCTCGAGGGACTCTCCAAGACTCAGTTATGGATGGGTTGTGATCATCAGTAGAAGGAGTTCCCACAGCCATGAAATAATAGGTTTTTTGAGATAGTCTTATTATTAAATATAAATCTCCAAGTTGTATATCTCCAACTCGCTATGGGATATCTCCATTTGAATATTCTGCTATAAAATCAGACTCAACGTGTCCCAAACTGAATTCATAATTTCCTTTCCATCTAACTCTCGTTACTCTGGTGGGAGTATGTTCCCTTTAGGTTTGAGCAGAATTGAGGATCATAAAGGATAAACATAGGGCCAATGAAAAGAAGGGTTAGGTGGTTTCCCTTACAAATCTTTTTTAAAAAATATTTATCGGGGCAGCTAGGTGGCGCAGCAGATAGAGCACGGCCCTGAAGTCAGGAGGACCTGAGTTCAAATCTGGCCTCAGACCAAACACTTGACACTTACTAGCTGTGTGACCCTGGGCAAGTCACTTAACTCCAATTGCCTAAAGAAAAAAAATTTAAAAATAAAAAAAATTTATCTTTGTAGATGGAAATAGTCACATGTATGAGTGTTTGCCAAATTCAGAATAACAATAAACATTTTTAATTATTGAAAAAAAGAAATATTTGCATGATGCCCTTTTAGTTATCAATCAAACATATGGGTCTGAGACTTTGAATGGCTCCATTGCATAAGAAAAGAGTAGGAGAAGAGGTGGCTAGGTGGCGCAAGGGATAGAGCGCCAGCCCTGGAGTCAGGAGGACCTGAGTTCAAATCTGGTCTCAGACCAGACACTTGACACTAGCTATGTGACCCTGGGCAAGTCACTTAACCCTAGTTGCCTGGCCAAGAAAAAAAAAGAAAAGAGTAGCAGAGACAATGTACTTTGTCTTTTTTCCAACAGACACTCTTCTCCAATAGACCACCTTTGTTTTCAGCCACTCATTTATGTAAGACTGGATAGGTGTCAGAGAAATGTTCTGGCATGATCACTGTAAGTTAGGATGAGGTCCCTCACCAGCCCTGACTCAGGAAGAATGGTCAAGAAGATGAAGAGCTGTCTGTCTTTCACCGCCTGCCTGGAAGGTGACCAACATCAGTGCTGAGGCCCTGAGGAAACAGAACTGGCACGGCTTCTGACAATCCTACACGAAGAATTTCTGACCTTTCTGGAAGAACACAGTAGCACTCCAGCTGAGCCTGAGCCTGGATGTGTTGGATATTATACCTCCCTCTCAAAGAGTGGGTCTGTGGAGTCCAGGGAATTGACTTACCACTGATGTCACACCAGTAAGGAGCCAGCCCAGGAGTGGGGAGACCTTTCTGGCTCAGCCCAGCAGCAGATAGACTCATCCTGCAGAGATGCTATGCCCTGTGAGGAACAGGCTCAGATGAGTCACTTGTCCCTTTCCAATACTGTATTCCACAGCAAACACTGTGAGCACTCTTTGAAGAGAGAAAGATCAGCATGGCCCTGCAGCTCCATAATTGTGAGTTACCCTGCCCACATATATTCCCTATGCATGTGCCTTGCTACCATTGTAAATTTGTTCCTATTCTTCTTCCCAAGGATTCTGTGGGTATTTGTGGAATATGCCCCAGATGTTGGGAGACCTTTGTATCTACTATTCTTGCAAGACATTTGAGTAAATTCCTTTTCTAAGGGCTAATTGAATATACTTGCTAATTTTTTTTAAATTTTATTTGTCTGTTTTTAGCTTTCAACATTTACTTCTATAAGATTTTGAGTTCTAAATTTTCTCCCTATAATTGCTAATTGTTACTGGTAAAGTACGTCAGTAGGACCTTGTGAGCTGTGGTGTGAAGACTAAGTGTTAAAAAGTACCAAGTATAAGAGTTACCACTAGAACCTGAGGTAGCAGTTGTCCCTTTGGAAATTTGACTTTCCAGGGCAAGTGAGAGTTGGAGTGAGCCTACGGTTGATGTTATACTTCTGTATATCCATAATTTCATTAGTGTGAATACTCCCTTCACCAGTGCAAAATGAATCCCTTAGGGTTCCTCATCCAGTGAATTCTTGCTTTGCCTTTCAGTTAATCCATCCGAGTATCTACTCAATATGTTAAAGTTCTTCCTCTTCTTTCACCAGGGGCAGTGAGGTGGTGCAGCAGATTGAGTGATGGACTTGGGTCAGGAAGACCTGAGTTCAAATACAAACAGATATACCTACTACCTCTGTGCCCCTGGGCAAGTCAAATATTTTGGGGAATCACAGGGATAGTGTAGATAGCCATAGGGCAGTCAATTGAGAGTTCCCTTCCAGAATTGATGGTTGTATTGATTTGATTACCATTCCTAGAGGAAGAGGTGGAAGGATGTGGAGGAGAGTTGCCCCCAGCATGTCGGATGTCCTGGGTCAATGGAATATAGAGCAAGTGTGGTCTGGGGGCAATTAGATAGTTCAGGTGAGTTTGTACTCACTCACCAATTAGTTTTTCATTAATTCTAGCCAGCTTCTTGATTTTTCCTCCATTATCTGTCTGGACCACAGTCGTATCTCTGCCAGATAAATGTTTGGACAGAGTTCTAAACCTGAGTGTATTGACTCCCCTAGGGATCAGGATATGGTTTCAGGAAGTCCCTTTGTACTTATCCTTCCCACCCTACCCTTATTCCATTCCTTCAGTGAAGTACTGAATACAAAACAGACCCTCTTTTAGAAATGATTGACAAGGGGCCTTGTGGCTTTCCAGTAGCCAGTCTTGCAGCTTTGGCCAGGGGTAGGAGCAAGGAATGAGGGCACCAGAGCAGAACCAGGCTGACTCAGGCCCTTCTAAGTGCTGGTAGCCAAGCCCTGGGATATGTGGGGCTTTGGGGGCGGGGAAGGAAGCTTGGTTGAGTATCAGGGGCCTAGTTATGCAGTTTCCAGCAAGATGCCCAAGCAAGCTTCCTGAGAGAGAGGCCGGCAGATTCATAGGGCTTTTAGCCAAGAACTTCTCTCCTGACTAATGCCTCAAGCCAAGTGACAGGAAAAAACCAGGAATGAGCCTAGGCCTGCAGTTGAATGTGGTAGTGCCTAGGCCAAGCCTAGCCTGTATATTTTACTGGCTGTGGTCAGTGTGGGAATAGGGCAGGCCTAGTGCACATCACTGAAGAATGAGGGACCTTATAGGTCATCCAGCACAGAGCCTTAATATGAGTGTGAGAAATGAGTCATTTACCTTGGGAAAGGAAAAGCTGTAGGATGTAGGGAAAATCTACAGTATACAAATATGCTTCTGTTTTTCAAGCACACCTTTAGGTTAGGGTCTGGGGTGCACAATTTGGTCTTTGTACTTCAGGCCCAAAATAAGCTCTCTGTGCCTTTGTCTAAATCAGTGATAAAAACCATAATTACGTTTACAATTTACAATTACGTAATATATTTAGAGCTAGAAGGAGCCCTAGAGGTCATCTGATCCAATCTGCTTATTTTAAAGATGGGGAAACCGAAGCCCAGAGATGTTAAATGACTTGTCCAAAGTTACATGATATTAAATGACAAAGCTAAGATTTGAACCCAGACCCTCTGACTCTGAATCTGATGTTCTTTCCATTGTACCACTATTATCCACATGGTGCCAAGCATGAATCTCTAGAACACTATACCATTAACGGGCCCAGCTCTTCATCCAGTTTATAGTCACTTAACCGTATATCATACAGCACCCATTTTCCCATAAAAGTCCCCTCTTTTCCATAAAAACAACATGAAAGGCTTTGTAAAAAAAAATGCTTTGCCAAGATCCAGGTAAACATGAATGAAATGGACTATTACTTTAGTCTAAGAAATCATTAATATGAAGTATTGCAAGAAGCATGGGAAAACTTATATTAATTGATGCAAAGTGAAGAAAGCCCAACTGGCAAACCAATATGTACAACAACTACAATAATGGAAATGGAAAGAATACCCAATTAATCAACCTGAATATCATGCAAATATAGCAACTAAGCTTTGCCCCAGAGCAGAAATGGAAAAAACAATGTACCTCCCTCTCTTTTTTGAAGAGGTGGAGACTATGGATATGGAATATTTTATATGTCGTCAGACATGGTTGATGTGTTGGTTAACTTTGCTGAATTACTTTTCTTTTCCTATTGAAAAATTCTTTGTTACGAGGGCTGGGATGGCTTAGGGGAGTAGAGAAGGATGTATTGAGAAATGGTGGTATGAAAGCAAAATATAGCAATGAAAATTTATTTAAAAAAAAACCAAAAAAAATCTAGGTAGACCATACTCCTAGTATTTCCCTGAACTGCCAGTGTAGTGACTATGTAAAAAAGGGCAATTAGGTTAGTCTGACATTGCCCACTCCTGAGGAATCCATGTTAGTTCTTAGTTAATCAATGCTTTCTTTTTTAGATATTCACTATTCTTTTAAAATAATGTTAAAAAAAATGTGTCTCTCCCAATTAGAATGGAAGCTCCTTGAGGGCAGGATTGGTCTTTCCCAGTCTCCTCAGCTGCTACTGCCTTTCTCTCTGAGATTACCTTCTTTATACTTTGTATTTATCTAGTATGTAGTCTCCTCCATTAGAATATGTACTCCCTAATATAAACAGCGACACAACTGTTAGATGGGATAACTTTATTGCCAGCCAAGCATTTGTACTTGGTAGTGCATTAGTAGATTTTGATTTCACTGTTACTGTTGTGGTTCTAAAAAACTTACTGTCTTTTACAAGAGCCTTTGGGAAGAACCTCCAGGGTCAGACCTCTGATGTCTTCTTTGCAGCCAGCAGTTTGACAGCAGTGTTACATTCTTTAAATGAAGTGATGGAAAATATTGAATTTTATCATGAATTTTGGTTGAATTGAGGAAGCCACAAATTTGGTGACTAAGCTAGATACAGAAATTAAATTTCCTGGAAAATTTCACAGGTCTCGGCAAGCTAACCTGGAACCTGCAGTGACGTCTGAAAGCTACTATAAAGAGGTACTTAGTGTCCCAACTGTGGAGCACATCATTCAAGGGCTAAAGGATATCTTCGCTGAACAGCACCTCAAAGCACTGAAATGTTTGTCTTTAGTACCCTCTGTCATGGGACAGCTGAAATTTAATATATCAGAGGAACACCATGCTGATATGTACAAAAGTGACCTTCCTGATCCAGACACTCTTTCTGTAGAACTCCATTGTTGGAGAATCAAATGGAAACACAGAGAAAAAGATATCGAGCTTCCAGCACCAATTTATGAAGCCCTGCATCTGCCAGACATCAAATTTTTTCCTAATGTTTATGCATTGCTTAAAGCCCTCTGCATACTCCCAGTGATGAAGGTTGAGAATGAGAGGTATGAAAATGGTCAAAAACATCTTAAGGTATACCTGAGGGATACTTTGACAGCTCACCGATCGAGTAACTTGGCTTTGCTTAACATAAACTTTGATATAAAACATGACTTAGATTTAGTGGTGGATACTTACATCAAACTCTACACAAGTAAATTGGACCTCCAAGAAGAAGTTCTTCCCACAAGTAATTCAGAGATAACTGAAAATACTTAAGGAAATTGAACAAAATGGGTTTTCTCCCTGAATTTACATATTGGAGATTGAGAGAGAAGTCCTGAGATTATTGACAGGCCACTTAATCATTGAAGATGTTTGTCTTTGGGTCCCCATTTGGATACGTTAGCCACTGTTAATATCTATGCTAAACTGCTGTTCTATGAACTGAAATTCTTTGAAAATTGACTTTCCAAAATGTAGAAATACAACATTGCATTTCTTTGTGATTTCTGCTGGTAGTTACCGCTCTGGCTATATTTTTAGTTAACTTCATTCTGTACATAAAATTTGTGATTACCAGGGATCCAACTACCAGGTTTTGGATTTCTTAGTTATTGTTAAAAAAAAAAGTATTGGGAGGAGAAGTGGGGAAAATTTTTAGTTAAAATGAAGCTCACTACTGACCACTGACTCCTATGTGTTTTTTTTAAAAATGTGGTAACATTGACAGTAAAAAGATATATTAGAGAAGAGTTTATCTCAAACCATGACCTCATACACATTTTCATGTTGACTCTGACTTCATCAAGTGAATGTAAATGAATGAGTCCACTTAACATTTAAGTGACAGAGCCAATGTTGTTCGTCATAAATGAATGATTGTTGTGGTTTACATTCCTCTGTTGGGGCTCCACAATAACTGTTTTATGAACTTTTCACAAGTATACATCAAACATTCTGTTCTATGAACTGGAAGCCAATCTCACAAACATAAAAAAAAAAACCCCAAAACTGATCTTGTTTGTGTTTATTCTGCCTTTTTCCTTGCCTCATCTTGACTTGTAAACCTAGCCTGGAGAACTTGCAAATTAGGATTTTGTGGTTTATCTAGGATTGAGTAAAGAGGAAAATATTACTGTTATTTTTGGTGAGAAAAACAATTTTTGTATAGTTTATTTTATTCTAAATAAAATGTGGATTTTCTTTAAAAAATAATATGTACTCCTTAAGGATATATTGCCTAGTAGAGGAATTGTTGGGTCAAAGGATATGAGCCAGTTTAATTACTTTTCTTGCATAATTCCAAATTGAAAGTCAGAATAGTTGAACCATTCCACAGATCCACCAATTAGAGTGTGTACCTTTCTTCCCACAGTTTCACCAGCATCAACTGTTTCCGTTTTTATTTTTACGAAAAGTTGAATGAAATAAAGTAAAATCCTCAATTGTTTTAATTTGTACTTCTCTTACAATTAGATATTTGGAGCAGGTTTTTCATGAGGTCATTTATAGTTTGCAAATCTTCTTTTAAAAACTGTTCATACATCTCTGAAGGCCTCATGATGGAAAGTGCTATCCACATCCAAAGAAAGAACTATGGAGTTTGAATGCAGATTGAAGCATACTGTTTGCTCTTTTTTTTTTCTTCTGTTGTGTTTTGTTTCCTCTTTCTGGTGGTTCATCCTGTTTGGTTCTAATTCTTACTCACAACATCACTAATGTGAAAATGTTTAATAGGAATGTATATGTATAGCCTATATCAGATTGTGTGCCATCTTGGGGAGGGGGTGAGGGGGGAAAAATTGAAAACTCAAAAGCTTATGGAAGTGATTGTTGATAAATCAAAATAAATTAATAAAAAAATTAATAAAATTAATTAAAAAAAACTTGTTCATATCTTTTGACCATTTATGTCCTGGAGAATGGCTCTTGGTCTTATATGTGTCAATTTCATGTATGTTTTGGATATATTAGACTTTCATCAGTGATATTGATGCAAATATTTTCCCCCAGTCTACCATTTCTTTTTGAATATTTTCTTCATTGATTCATTCCCTGTGTATCTAAAGAAGTATCTTTAGACAACTCTCTTTTTCCATTCTTTTTGTAATTGTCTGTTTTTGTATCTTTAGAATTTCATTTCTTGAGAGCTTCTCATCTTCTAGATTGATTTTCCCGGTAGAATTTTAGGCTGTGAGAATTTATGTATACTTCCTATTAATGCTTTGAAGGCTGCTTGCTGCTTTCCCCAAATCTACAGTATGTGTCAGCCTATACTTTCCTCTCTCTTTAGATCACAGATTCTAAGATGGCATGATAACTTATATCCAGGGTTCCTATTATTTCCACTGTAGCAACCAACTTTGTTGGTAAGAATTAGATCCATACTACAAGTTCGATTAAGATATGTAGATGGCAAGCTTATCAAATTTGGAGATGACACAAAGCTGAAAGGGACAGCTATCATATAGGATGGTGCAGAATCCAAAAAGACTTCTGCAAGCTAGAATATCATACTAAAATCTGAGAAATGAAAATTTAACATCTGGGTTCAAAGAATCAACTTGAAAAGTACAAGGTGGGGAAGGCATGGCTAGAAAGAAATTTATCCCCAAAAGTTCTGTAGATTTTGGTGCACTACAAACTCAGAATGAGTCCATTGTGTGATATGGCCACCAAAGAACCTAATGTGATCTTAGGCTTCATTAAGACAGACATTCATTGACTAAGCTCGTCCCCAAAGAAGAGATGAGAAAATGTACCTCCTTCCCTTCTTTGCAGATGTGGGGGTACTCCAGGTGCCATACTGGGTTGATGTATTGGTTAGTTTTATTGATTTTTCTCTCTTCCCCTCCCCTTCTTTTTTATTCTTTGTTACAAAAGATGGTCCACTGGGTAAAGGGGAGGGATATGTTTTGAAATGAAAGTAATGTAAAAACAAAAGAAATCCTTTAAAAAAATTTTTTTACAGGAAGTGCTAATATTAAAGTCTAGGGAGGGGATCATTCCATTGTACTGTGCTCTGGTCAGATGACATCTAAAGTACTATGGTCATTTCTGAGTGTTGTATTTTGGGAAGGACAATGAATGATAAGCTTGGAAGCATCACCAGAATGGTGAAGGGCATGGAGTTTGTGCTTTATGAGGATCAATTACAGGGACTGAGGATGTTTTTCCTTAGAGGGAACATGATTGCTGTCTTCAAGTATTTGAAGAGACGTCATGTGGAAGGATTAGCCTGTTCTGCTTGGTCCTAAAGGGCAGATTAGTAAGGATGCGTGGGAGTTACAGAGAAGTGAATTTGAGTCTGAGGGGGTTCCAACTACCAGATATCCCAGAGTGGGATGGATTACCTTAGAAAGGGGTCCTTCCTCACCAGAGATCTTCAAGCAAAGCCTGGGACAACACATATATTGTTGATGGATTCTTGTGCAGCATAGTAGGAACTAACAATAATAATATTAATGATAATAATAACCAGCATGTATATAGTGCTTTAAGGTTTGAAAAGTGCTTTACATATATTATCTTACTTGATCTTCACAACTTGGGGGGAGGTAGGTGTTATTATTATTCTCTCTTTACAGATGAAGAAACTGGAGAGGAGATAAGATTAGATGGTCTCTGAATGCCCTTCCAACCCTGAAGTTCTTGGAAATGACTCTTGTTATTTCTTTTCTTTCTCTCTCTCTCTCTCTCTCTCTCTCTCTCTCTCTCTCTCTCTCTCTCTCTCTCTCTCTCTTTCTTTCTTTCTTTCTCTCTTTCTTGGCAATTGGGGTTACGTGACTTGCCCGGGGTCACACAGCTAGTAAGTGTCAAGTATCTGGTCTGAGGCTAGATTTGAACTCAAGTCCTCCAGACTTCAGGGCCGGTGCTCTATATACACTGCGCCACCTAGCTGTCCTTCCTTTCATCTTTTAAAGAAGAAATTGTCATTAAGACATGTCAGGGAACTATTAGCTTCTTTGTTTTGGGCAGAGAGACAGCACTATGACTGCCTAATTGTAGTACCCCAGCACTGACATAACTCCATAATGGGTATGGGAAATCTCATTCCTTAACTCACTATTTCCAGGTGTTCTCTAGAACATGCCAAAGATCACATGAATTCTATTTCTGTCTCTGATGCTGTTCGTTTAAACATTCTCCACTATGATTACCCCTGTAGCTCCTGTATTTCCTCATGGGTATCACTTCTTAATATACAGTGATACTTGGTAACCCCACCCCCCCACCCATTTTTGAATAAGATATACATTTCCAGAGCCTTATCCTCAGCCTACCCAGTCTTAGTGACACCTGTCAAATAAAAATTACTTCCTTGCACTGGGATCTCTCTCTCTCCTCTCTCTCTCTCTCTCTCTCTCTCTCTCTCTCTCTCTCTCTCTCTCTCTCTCTCTCTCTCTGTGTCTCTGTGTGTGTCTGTCTTTTTATTCATGACACTATCAAAAGGTCACAAGGGGAGCTATTAACAGATGGCAGTAGTGACAGGATCTGTGACTTCTTTAGTACAGGAACTCTTGGGTGATGAAATTCTCTTTACCAGTGCAGCCTGGCATCTTGGCATCCTCAAGAGTTGTGCAGGGCAGTTAGAAATCAAGTGTAAGCTCACACAGCTAGTGTGAGTCAGGGGCAGGACCCAAACCTGGGTCTTAGTGGCTCTGAGGTTGCTACTCATTAACTATCACTTCCTATAAATGCTGCTGTTTTCAATGTCAGAAAATCTGACTCTTCAGAGAATGTGAAGATTCAGTTCCAGGAGACAGAAAGGGGTTGCAATTTTTATACCTTGTCTCAGGTACACCAGCCTTTTCCTGCCATCTCAACATGGCCAATACCACTGTTATCTCTCCCATCTATAATTTGTGGAGCCTTCTTTGGACAGAATGGGTCTCTTTACCAATTTAATCATGTCTAGCAACCATGTTAAACTCAAATAGAAATGGGGGCCACTGACCTGTCCATAAGGATCCCTGTGGGCCACATATTGACTTAGTTTTTAAAATGTAATACTATCTGTTTCATTGCATTTTCATTTATTTTTATAAAACATTTCCCAATTACATTTTGATCGGGTTTGGACAGCACTTAACAGTGTTGTGGGCCGCGTGAGGGGTCTTACGTTTGACATCTCTAGTGTACAGCATGTTAAGAGGTCAGTAGGAGCAGGAAATCTCATCCTTATCTCACAGATGAGGAAACTGAGGTCCAGACAGGTGCGTTGACGTGACCAACGTCAAATTGAAAGTCAGCAGAAGGGGGGCAGCTAGGTGGCGCAGTGGATACGGCACCGGCCCTAGATTCAGGAGGACCTGACTTCAAATCCAGCCTTGGACACATAACACTTAACTAGCTGTGTGACCCTGGGAAAGTCACTTAACCCCATTGCCTAAAAAAAAAAAATCAGCAGAAGGGTAGGTCTCCTGATTCCTAATCCATTGCTTCATTCTCACCAAACAATACTTCCCCCCCCCCCACTGCAGAGAAAATGGGGAGAATTTCTAGGAGCAGGATTGCTTCTCGACTTAAGTTTCTGAGACTCAGGACAGTCAAAGAGGAGAAACCTTTAATCTGAAGGAACAGTGAGCACCCCATCTCTCCAAGATAACAAATGGTGGTGTTTTAAAATAAATGAGTACACTGATGTACTTGGATTTAGGGAGGAGATGGCTTCTCGGGTTATAGGGGTATATGCCTGAGGAGTCAGGCAGCCTGCTATGACCCTGTAAAAAGAGAGATTGGCTATCTATTTAGCTAGGAGTTGTGGAGTGGGAAAAGCCAGATAAAAATTATTTCTTCTGTCCTCAGAGGCAGGAGAAATACCACTGGGAAAGTACCAGCCTTCCCCCTCCTAACTCAGGAGGTGGTTTCCTTCTTCCACAGTAGATGGTGACAACTCTCATTCCACTCCTTATACTTCTATGGCAAGAACAGCCCACTGTCAGAAGACCCTGGTTCTCATCTCTGCTCTGCCATTATGGATTTGCTCCTTGGGGTGTTTCTTTGGGACAAATCACTTAACTCCTAAGTGCTAGCTTCTGACTCTCAGATTTCCATCTCCTAAAAAGCAGGGTTGATAGCTCTATATACAGGGTATGACAGTTAATAGCTTTAGGAGAGCTCTAAACATATCACATCAACCAGTTATGGTCTTTCCTAAAAGTCTCATCAGAGAGACATGGTGATGTCACAGTGCTAACGTGGGCATATTTCACTAATAACTGGGCCTTGCAGAAACAGATTTGGGGCTCAGGCCATTTACCTTATTGGGCACAGTGTACCTCCTGCCTCAACTAGATCATAAGCCCTGGGAGGATAAAGATCTTGTCTCACACTTTTTTGAATCCCTACTGCCCTTTGAACATTAGGTAACAACAAATCTCTTGTTGGTTTACATTACCAAGAGCATTATGCTTGTGAAGACTTGCATTCAAGTCTCAACCTTGACATTTTTCCACTGTGTGACTGTAGACAAGTCACTAAACTTTTCTGGATATTTTTCCTCATTTGTAAAATGGGGAAAACAATTCTTCGTTGCTCTCTGTGTTAGCAGTGCAGGCTCTCACTGAATGACTGGTTTATGTCT